ATCCTAATTTCAATAGAGAAGGAGGCTGGGTACTACCACCTGCTTGGGATCCTATAATCAATAAAATTAAAACTAAACCCAAGCATACCACTGCAAGACCTCAAGACATAGTCAGTTCATTTTGCATAGATCGGACCATAAACAATAATTAAAAAAGCTGAAGGTACTCCGGGTTTAACAATGACATCAGGACGTCAGTCATCTCAGTCCCCCGTGACCATGGGTGCTGGAAAGCGCCCGAAACGTCGGGAATTAAAAATAAAAAGTAAAAATAAACGCGAAAAAAATCCGTAAAAGTAGTTTTAATCATGTACTATGTAAATTATCAGCTTAATTCTGCTGTTTTGTATAATGGGTGTTGAGAACCAGAGATTCTTTTAATGGGAAATAAGCAATTTCATCTTTGTACTCAGGGGTGACAACATATCCTCATTTTGATTCTTAATCGAGGGTATGTATACAGGCCACAGCATAGCTACTAACCATCAGGTGGACTGTGTGCTTGTTTAACAACCTTATTTTTTTTTAAATAAGCAATTTCATCTTTGTACTCAGGGGTGACAACATATCCTCAATTTGATTCTTAATCGAGGGTATGTATACAGGCCACAGCATAGCTACTAACCATCAGGTGGACTGTGCTTGTTTAACAACCTTATTTTTTTTTAAATAAGCAATTTCATCTTTGTACTCAGGGGTGACAACATATCCTTAATTTGATTCTTAATCGAGGGTATGTATACAGGCCACAGCATAGCTACTAACCATCAGGTGGACTGTGCTTGTTTAACAACCTTATTTTTTTTTAAATAAGCAATTTCATCTTTGTACTCAGGGGTGACAACATATCCTCAATTTGATTCTTAATCGAGGGTATGTATACAGGCCACAGCATAGCTACTAACCATCAGGTGGACTGTGCTTGTTTAACAACCTTATTCTTTTTAAATAAGCAATTTCATCTTTGTACTCAGGGGTGACAACATATCCTCATTTTGATTCTTAATCGAGGGTATGTATACAGGCCACAGCATAGCTACTAACCATCAGGTGGACTGTGTGCTTGTTTAACAACCTTATTTTTTTAATTAAAATTGCTATTAACAACCTCTTAGTTGCTGACCCTCCATGACTTTAGCTATACAAATCGACAAATATAATATAGTGTCCAACACGAGAACTTTTAATGAAGCCTCAATAGCATACCGCGATACAATGCGCCGTTAAAACACTAAATAAATACAATGTAAGTATTAGACACGCGATATGCAAGAATAATGAATATTACTTTTAAAAAAAATTAAAACTAAACATAATACACATTAATTGGGTTATTATTGTAGTTAAAATGTTAATGGGACCAACTGTGTCAACATAAAATAATTAAGAACCAGTAAGAAATTCAGCAGTTGTTTTATTTTCTCAATGTATGCTGTGCACTTGAATTTTAAAAACAGCTTAGTAACAATTGCCACCTCATTTTCAAGAAATATTATCATGTTACAACACTGTTTTCTTTAAAATTATAATAACCCTTCTTATATGATGGGTGACCTTAGACTATGCTCAATAACCTCAACAGTGTCTCTCAACAGATACAAGTTAAAATAAACATGGACAACCTCCACCGCAATGAAACTGCGTCGGCTCAATTACGCAAGTGGTTTAAGGGACAAAGGACGGTCATAGCCTTAATCCAGAATCCATGGGTTGGGGCTGGTAAAATTAAAGGCCTACACAACCTAAAAGGTAAGTTAATCTAGAACTCTGAGCATGTACAAGCCTAGAGTGTGTATTTACACTACTAAAGATATCTGTGCAAAACCATTAACAGATTTCCGTTTCAGAGACATGTATGCCGTAGCAATATAAAATACACAAGAGTGAAGAATAGTCGTCGCCTCAGTCTACATGCGAAGGAAGACACTCCTCCTCATGACCTCACCTGACCTGGTGGTAAGGTTGTGATTGGGATGGACTTCAATGCGCATTATACCCTTTGGGGAATGGAAAAGGATGAGTTTTTTCAGCCTTGGAAAATGGACAACTTCTTGCAAAATTAAAAGCCAATGGATCAGAGGCAAGATTAAAGACTTCATATTATTGGGATTGCTAAGATAATGTCGTTGATTCTTTGCTTAGCTCTTTAGTAGCTTCTTCAAAATTGGCCAGAATATCAATAATTTGGCTCATAAGAACTTATTACCTTGCTGTGATTTCATGCTTACAATTTGGTAGAGATAGTAAAACATCTTAAAACACTATGCATTGTTTATGTAATCTCTTCAACATCTGATATGTTGAGTCCCATCTAGTTTCATGATCATGAAACAACACATGTTTCAGTAAATTGTTAGCTTGTTGAGAATCTTCCAGATGTTTGAGTGTTAAAATGAGTAAAAAGAGTCCCCTGCCCTTGTGTAGCCGTCGTTGAGGCTAAGGCGCATTTTCAGTCTGCCAGTAATTGAAGTTGCGTAGAAAAATATAAGTTTATAAATATTCGTTATTAGTATTCGCCGAATACGAATATTCGGTAAATGTTTACTATTCGGCGAATACGAATATTCGTCTTCATTGCATCACTATTTTTTACATCAAAAATGAAACATAAATAACAATTTCTCTTTAACGCATCAACCGATTTAGATTGAATTTGCACACATAGTGACTTCCTCATAGAAATAGAATGGCTTCCTAGGACCTCAAGATCTGGTGAAAATTCGATTTTCAAAAACATTGATCATTAATTTTCATAGGGGGAAGTTAAAAAGCAATTTGACAATACAAGGTAGGCAAAAAAGTGTTTGTCAGATAGCAACACATGTTCTCGAAAGCCATAACATAAACATTGAAAATAAATGTACAGCCAGCCAAAAATTTCAAGTACCTATAAATTATATTTCGAAACAGATAATGCTCCATATTGTGGTAAATTAATTGGGTCAGCTTTAGTAATCTGCTGCACGATTTAAGTGATTATTTTAGCTTTAGTTGACAGGCAATGATGCTATTGATTACCATCTAGCTGCTTTTTATGCCGGAAATCTTTATTTTTCGAGATATCGATAGTTGAAAGTTTTGAGGTTATATTGGGTTGGCTAGACATCCAGTACTTGATTTTGATAATGTTTTTAGTCTAGGAGGCTTGTTAGGGGTAATCTTAAACCTATTACGCTGTGTTTAGATGTCAGAAATGCATTTTGAATTAATTACGATAAAAACAAATTTCACCAAAAATAGTGTAATATGTCAATTTGTTCTCATATTATGAAGTAGATTTAGGAGGATTGTCAGGGGTAAGCTCGAACCATTTACACTGTTTTTGGATTTTGAATTAATTACGATGTCAATTTGTTTTTTTTTTAACACAAATACACTCATAAAAAAGTTGATAACTCGGACCCAGACAATCCATTTGTGGCTGGAGGTGGGACTTATATACAACAAATTGAGTTGCAGCGGAGAGCAGTCAAGAGGTTTTTCAGAAAACAAAATTATAACAATTCACATTACATTATTTCATTTACCACTCTAGTAGAAGAGTTAAGAGCAACTAGACTTCATAAATAAAATTGGGCGAATCGGTTCTAAAACCGAATTAGCACAACCCAAATCCACATAGTCTTGTCTGCCCTACCCTTAGAGTGCTTTTGTAAAGCCGTAGACACAGAGGGCGAGCAGCCCCCGCGCGCTGTAGCAAATCGCAGGCACCTAAGCGAGCCGTAGTGGCTGAAGCTGGTCACTGAAGGTTACCAATAAGCAGAAGCTGCGGAGGCAAGCATGGGTACCTGTGATTTGCTACGCAAGGGCGAAGGGGCTGCACTTCCCGCAGTGCCGAAGCCGTTGCAGAAGTAACGCATCAATAGTCCTTTATAAAAAAGTGAGGTTATGATTTTACAAAAAAGGAGGGGTTTCTGGCACTTCCCCCTTTTAGGGGGAGGTTCCTATCCCAGCCCCCACCCCACTCGGGGTTAATATTTCCAATATGGACCATCAATTTCAAAGCCCATATTTTTTTTGTAGATAGTACTCACTAAAAGAAAGCGTTTTTGCAAAGTTTTAGGTTGCGGAAACTTACGGTTCATGAGATAGATTTTTTTTAAACTTTTCATACAAATTGGCAAATAACACGCAATTACAAAATAAATTTGACAAATGATTGATGTCAAACGTCAATTAGTGTAGGGTACAAAATATTTTGAAAGTATCGATACGTACTCCATACCAAGTATCGTATCAAAAGTATCAATACTACTTGGTATCGAGTACATTTCGTTAATTTTGGAGACTAGGGGGGTAAGAAGCCGTGAAGTTGTGCTCCGGCGCTCCGTGGCAGCTCCGGCGCTGCGGGATGAGCAGTGCCTCCGCCCTAGCGTAGGGAAGCCCAGGCACCTGAGCTCAAGCCTCAGCCGCTACGGCGACCTCGCTGCCTGCGCTTCCCTACGGCGGGCGGGCACTGCTCTCTCTCCGCGCCTCCGGGCTCTTAAATACACTCTAGGGGTAGGGCAGACAAGACCACGTGGATAGTGGGGTGCTCTGATTCGGTTTTGGGTACTTTTTGGATATTAAATAAGTAAGTCAATAAGTAAGTAAACACTTTATTGTAGTAAGAATTAGATAATACAGAAAGTTGCAAACAATAAAATAAAAGTACAAAAGCTGTACTAATTAAGAAATATAAACTAGAGATGAAACGGATAGCTGTTTGGCCGGATACCGGATACCGGATATTCGGCCGACCAAGTGCGATAGCCATCCGGCCGCCGAATATCCAGCGAAACTTAGCCGTTTGCGTAGGAGTCGCGCGAACGATCGGATGGACTCGGTTCGATTCGGGTCTTTTCGTTGATGAGTGAAGTTAACAATTGTACAATTTTATTATTGTGCCGATTGCATGCAGCGCAGACACGTGCGTGATCGTTTTTAGGTTATAATTTTATTTGTGCTCTTATTATTTTAAGTACATACATACATAAGTCTAAAAGATTTAGCAACGAGAAATGGCATCGGTGAAGAAAAGATCGCCTTTATGGGAATACTTTGACATAAGCAGTGAAAATAAAAAGTTAGCTCTTTGTTTATTATGCAATGTTAATATTTCTCGTGGCGGCGAAGGGAAAAAAGCAGGTATGTATCTAATAATAAATAATCTAATTGCAATAATTTTAATACCTATCAAGTAAAATAATATCTTGCAAGTTTCGTAACATATTCAATAATTATTGATTTCGGGGTATTTCGTTTTTTAGGTATTTTTCGATAGGCATTACTTAAACGACTGGTAGTGGTAGCTATGAAGCTGTGTTTTTTTTATTGTAATTTATTGATTATCTACCTACGAGTATCTAGTTGTTAGGCACATATTATTTTAAGTAAATATAATGTTTAATGTTATTTATAGTAGTATTTCTATTTTTATGGTATACCTACTTATTTTACCTTTATTTATTTATACCTAATTAAGTCATTTTTTTCTAGGTACTTCTGCTATGAAAAATCATTTAAAATCAAAACATCCAGATGAATTTAGTGCTTTAAATAAAGACAAGAACGCTGTTGAGCCTACTACAGTTTCTATAGCCATTGCGGGGACAAGTTCATCTTCAGTAGCAAAAAAGCAATTGACTATGACAGAATCTTACGAAAGGAAATTGCTCTGGGATATAAATGATACTAAAGCGAGAAAGTACCATTATTTAGTAGCTGAAATGATTGCACTCGACAACGAGCCATTGTCCATAGTGGAAAGAACCGGTTTTACCAGGCTCTTAGAACAAGCTTTACCCCGCTATAAACTGCCAAGCCGGACTTATATTACCCAAAAAATCGTTCCTGATATGTATGACAGAATTTACGAGAAAATCAAACGTAACATTTCGAGTGCCTTCGCTATTTCAGTGACATCTGACATATGGACTTGCTTACACAATAATGCTAGCTTTCTGAGTTTTACAGCTCATTGGATATCATCTGAATTTAAACTAGAACACGGAGTTCTGGCAATGAAGCCTTTCTCAGGTTCACACACAGGAGAAAATATAGCAATGGAACTCAACAATGTCGCAAACCGCTGGGATATTGAGCACACTAAAATACATTTGTTCATTCATGATAGTGGTGCTAATATGGTGAAGGGTGTTCGTTTGGCTAAATACGATTCTGCTAGATGTTTTATACATACGCTTCAAAGAGCCATAAACGAGTCGCTCAAAGTCCAGACTGAAGTAACAGCAACAATTGCTGCTGGAAGGCGACTTGTGACGCACTTCAATCACTCAGGTCTAGCTCAAGAAAAACTGCTGAGGATCCAGAAAGAGCTAAGTTTACCCGAGCATCAGTTAGTGCAAGATATTAGCACTAGGTGGAATTCCACTTTTTACATGATTGAGCGTTTGTTAGAACAGAAGCGGGCCATATCATTGTATGTTGCTGATCACGATACGCTCATAAATTTGACAGCTCAACAGTGGAGTTTGATGGAGCAGTGTATCAATTTATTAAAGCCCTTCGAAGAAATTACTAAAATAACAAGTTCTGGACTATCATGCGTGTCGGAAGTTATACCACACGTTACTGCTTTAAAAAAATACTTAGATAAAACTGAAACTGAGCAAAGAACTCCTGATTTATCACATATGCGAGCCTCGTTAAAAGCTGAGTTAGAAACTCGTTTTACCTCCATAAGTCAAGACTCAAACTACTTGATTGCAACTTATCTAGACCCTAGATTCAAAACAAACTACTTGGGAGTGATTGAAGCTGCAAAAGCACGCCAGGAGATCTTATTGGAATATTTGAAAATGTCTTGTGAAGAGTCTTCAAGTAGCAGTTCATCTTCAACACCGGCTAAAAAGAGTAGAGGAGAGGAGACAGAGCCAGCTGTATCTTGTAAAGCTCATGACACATTTTGGGACTGCTTTGATGAAGTAGCAAATGAAAACAACACTGACCAAGTGCAACGTGAAGAAAGAAATGCGATAACCTGTGAGCTGGATTTTTATCTCAAGTCAGTGCGAATTGATCGCACTTGCGACCCTTATTCTTGGTGGGCAGCTAATGCCAAACAATACCCAAATTTAACAAAGTTTGTCAAAATCTACCTTTCTGCTCCTTGCAGCAGTGTGTATAGCGAAAGACTTTTTTCTGAAGCCGGGCTTATTTATGAAGAGAAACGCAACCGCCTGTTACCTCTTAATGCAGAGAAATTACTATTTATTCATTATAATTTGCCCTTAGTGCAGTATGAGTACTAAATGTACCTACTAATTCATTCATTTTCCTTGTATTACATTAACTTACTATTGTGTAATTAAAAATTTAATACTTGAACTAATTATATTTAAGTAATGTGATTCTTACTAAATAAAGCAAATAATTACTCAAAAATATGTTTCCTTTATCCAGCTTTTTTTTTTAATCGGCCGGATGTCTATCCGGCCGAATAGTAGCTATCCGGTATTCGGCCGGATAGTATTATGGCGGCCGGATAGGCCGGATACCGGATAGTTACCGGATATCCGTTTCAACTCTAATATAAACAAGTTGCAAACAATGAAATACAAGTACTAAGGTGGAACTTAAATAGTGTAAACTTTATTCTACTTTATATACATATATAATTGCACTTATCAGCTCTTCCTATGCATCTAATTGGTTTGTCATAATTTTTCGTCTCCAAAATTAACGAAATGTACTCGATACCAAGTAGTATTGATACTTTTGATACGATACTTGGTATCGAGTAGGTATCGATACTTTCAAAATATTCGGAACCCTACACTAACTGACGTTTGACATCAATCATTTGTCAAATTTATTTTGTAATTGTGTGTTATTTACCAATTTGTATGAAAAGTTTAAAAAATATATCTCATGAACCGTAAGTTTCCGCAACCTAAAACTTTGCAAAACGCTTTCTTTTAGTGAGTACTATCTACAAAAAAAATATGGGCTTTGAAATCGATGGTCCATATTGGAAATATTAGCCCTTACATCTTTTAAGGGGAAATTCCTACCCCTCCCCCCCCCCATCTACCCGCCCACTCGGCGACCATAAATTCGTGCGGCAGATTACTAAAGAAATACCTAATAATTGAACTTTCTACATGTTGCACATTTAGCAACAAAACATAATTAAAATTATCTTATAAAAAGAAGTTGTAAAAGTACTTTTTATGTATGTCTGCTTAACCTAATAAAACCACATTGTTCGTTGGAATTAATATTAAACCTATTTGAAGGACATGCTTTCTTTTATTAAATTTGTTTTTATTTTAATGATAAATTTTTATCAGAGCAGCTTTACAATAGTAAATAACGAAATTGCCATAATGTCAAAACCTGTAAATATGTTCTAAATATTTGCAATAATAAGCAGATATTTGGAGATAAACTATAATATATTAAATGTAGCACACAAAAATAAGAAAACAATAAATCTGGACAACGTACATACAGCTAAATTAAAATACAATATCTATCCATGAGCACAAATACAAATAAAATACTTACCAAAAAGTTGTATAAGACTGGACAATGCTAGAAAACAGCTCGGACCATTGCAAGTTCTGCACAAAAGCACTAAATTTCTTTAACAAAACTTATTAATATGATAATTATAACAAGAGTGTAAAATGTTACAGGCACTTGATTCGATTTCTTACGTTTTGGAAGAACTAGTTTAAATATTGTCACGTAAATACAAATCTTAAAAGTTAATTTACTGTCAATATAAAGTTACGAGAAGTTTTTTACTTCACTACATATAACACTCGAAACAAAAACACAAACACAAAATTTCTAATCTACGGAATCGTAGCGGAGTCACTCTGTTTAACTTCCTTCTTGCCAGGTTGCCAGTCCTTCCGTATTTATTTATAATTACCACCTAAAAAATTTATATTCCTAATATTCCTTGCTTGCCAGGTGCCAGGTTTATTTATTTTTTATTAAACTTTTTAGCTTGGATGCTTGTCTTTTAAGCCATATCCAATTCTTTCGGGATCAGCAGTTCTGCAGCTACGTGGTCACTTGGAAAGGAAGGCCAAATTAGCCTCTAAAATGCTTGGTGTGCTCAGCACAGCGAGACAGTATTTCATGCTGGTACACCGCGTTGACACGTTGTCAACATAAGTAAGCGTAGACAGAGAAACCTATAGACTAATGATTAGCGTGGCCTCGAGTGAGAAAGGACGATAACGTAGTTTTAGTTTATATAATACTCTTTATGACTTTTAAACATATTTAGATAAAAATTTTAATTGTTCTAAGAACTGAACTCAACAAGATTCATCAATCTTAAGCTCACAAAACACTTTTTTCTCACTTAAACCAACTTGTAAACTCCTTAGATCGCTACGAACTGTCAAAGTTGTTTAGCAAAGTGTAGTTTGCTAAACAAAAAACCGGCACGGAGAAAGGGACAAACAATCACACCACTCTGTCTCATTTCTATGCAAGACGTATGCATAAATCTATCTTTTTCGTTTGCGAATGCGAAAGAAGGCGTCAATTTGTCTATAGGTTTCTCTGTCTACGGCAAGATAGGTAACCAAAAATAACTCCTCCAGAGAGTAGCTAGTATGTTACTTGGTCTGCGCGCGACTGTTGATGTCGTAATTATTATTGCAAATTTCCCTAATATTTTTTCCTTCATTTAGTATTATCACTAGAATATGAATATATCAAATTATATCATTTACTGAATTGATTACCAAAATCCAAAAATCTGTGATTTGTTCAGCTTAAACTTACAAAGACCTAATAATTTTGTTTACCTTGTATTGTTTAAGACCCGCATAATAAATATATTTCATGAATGTAACTTTCACTACACAAGTTTCTAGGGTAAGACTTAAGTTAATTTTCAGTTATTGGTTTAAAACCATTTGCAAACGTTTAATTTATGCGAGGAATTTGAGATCAATAATATTATATTAAAAAAAACTAAAAGAACGCGCTTCACTTAAATTTTTGTAATTCTTCACAGCAAACCCTTTAATTTTCTACCCATATCATGGGAATGCATAAAAATTGACAACTCTTTCATCTTTGGGAGACCGCTATATTCGTAGACATAGAAACCTATAGACTAATGATTAGCGTGAAATCGAGTGAGAAAGGACGATAACGTAGTTTTAGGTTATACAATAATCTTTATGACTTTAAAACATATTTAGATAAAATTTAATAGTTCTAAGAACTGAACTGAACAAGATTCACCAATCTTAGGCTCACAAAACATTTTTATCTCAATTAAACCAACTTGTAAACTCCTTAGATCGCTACGAACTGTCAAAGTTGTTTAGCAAAGTGTAGTTTGCTAAACAAAAAAACCAGCACGGAGAAAGCGACAAACAATCACACCACTGTGTCTCATTTCTATGCAAGACGTATGCATAAATCTATCTTTTTCGTGTGCGAATGCGAAAGTAGGCGTCAATTTGTGTATAGGTTTCTCTGTCTACGGCTATATTTGATTTAGAATGACGTCACCTGTGTCACAATTTTTTTTACATAATTACACGTGTCTACTACTAAGATTAATGAAGACTGATATATTGTCTATAAAGAATTTTTCAAAAAAAGGTATTTTGTTGCATAACTGAAATAGCATATAGAAATTAACACGGAACGTCCACGGAAACCTTGTAAATTTTTTATTGAATACCTAGTAGTATTTGTGTGGCCGTGAAGGAAAAGGGGAGACTCCCGCCTGATAAGGTGTTCTGCCCAGGAAGCGGCCAACGCTCCGTGTGATAGTTCGGAGATGTTCTGTATATACTGTTCATGATTCGGAACTTTTGATAGCGCGATTTTCGGTGTGTTTCGATTGTGGCGCGATGACAGCGCCGTCACATCACCCCTCTACTCAGACCGGAGGTCGATAGTGCAGTTCGATTGCCGGTGCGTCCTTAATGCCGGTAGGGAATGCACGCTGTGTACGTAAGTGCAAGTGACGCCGGTGCGAATGATATGCCGATGTATAATGCATGCCGTACTACGCACTGGAAAGTGATGCCGGTGATAACGATGTGCCGGAGCAAGTGCCAGAAGTCTGCCTTATAAATCGGCGGTGAGTCGAGATGAAGACAAGTTGGACTGGCTTGCAGAAACTGAAGACTGCAGAAGACGATTCTCAGTAGTGAATGGTAGGGATTCTTGAGGATATTGACGAAGGTTTGAAGTTGTATAGTTCGGCCGTTCAGAGAATGCGTTCCTAGCACCTATCAGTTAGTCACGACTAGTGATGGGCACAACATAACACTGAGTTCGTTACCGTTCCTCCAAAATGAACCGCCGCGTTATTTTTAAGATTATTTTCGTTTTAAATTGGCGGAATCATTTAAAATTTATATTTTAGTAATTTAAGTGGAAACCAAAAAAGGTAATATTAATATAATAAAATTGTTTTATTTATTCTTTGTTACAAAGTTACAATCTGCATTTCTATGCAATAAAGTACATTGGATTGAATGTGCGTACAGAATATTAATCAGACTCCGATTCGCTTGAGGAGGTGGTGTCTTCATCATCATCTTCGCCTACATGTATAATTATATTATTATCAATAACAGAATCAATCCTGATATCTAGGTCAAAATGTTCCACAATCAACAACCTTTGCCCAGTCATCTCTTGTGACTTCCCCGCAGGCTTCTTTAAATAGGGTCATCATCTTTTTCGTGCTGAATGGCGGGGAAGTATTGTGGCGGGCGGCGTAACCTTTTATTTGAGATAGCTCAGATTAGCTCAATCGCGTTATATTGGCAATGATACGGTGGAATTCTTAGAACGCGATGACCGTACTCCAGAGCCAGTTCATCGATTTCGTATCGCACATTTGCCGCTTTATTTTCTTTAACTAATTTAATTAGCTCTGGTTTTAGCATCTTCATATTTGCGTCAATGCCTTTTGCTTGTAACCAAGCCACCATTTCTTCTTTATTATTAGCTTGGGTAGGTGGTTTCTGTATTTGAATCGAGTGATAGGAGGCATTATCCATGAACATTACAGAAGGCTCTGGTAGGCTGGGCAAAAGCACGTTCTGGAACCACTCTTTAAATGTAGTGGCATTCATTTCCTCGTGGTAGTCATTTGTGGTTTTTGATTGAAATGCCAGTAACGCGTTCTCCACAAAGCCGTATTTTGCAGAACCTGCGTGGCATATTATCAGACGGGCCCCCTTACCCATTGGTACTTTCGACGTCGACGCTTGTGTATCATCCGTCCAAGAACGGGAAACCAGTTATCAATATTTTTTGCTTCTCTCAAAAAACTTATCCGTTTTAAAATTATGTCGTATCGTTCTAATAAAATTTTTCTTTTGTCTGTTTTTTATACCAAAAATCAATATCTTTTAAGATTTTGGTTGAAGCAGTTTTACCCCCGCTAAAGAGTCCAGCTTCTCTTAACGATGCCAAAAGCTTCTTCCTGTTGAGATATTCATTTCTGGAATAGTAACCATATATATGATTGCATCCTCGTCAAAGGTGTCAATATCTGTCAAGAGTTTAGTTCTACGTTTCTTCTTCGGAGTACGTAAAATATTATCTTCCGTGCCAGTAGAGCCGAACTTTTCTTTATTAATATTTGTTATCGTTCGTTTGCTAACTCCAAGCGCCTGAGAAACGCGTTCTTGTACTTGTTCGACAGGTAACAGGGGTCCGCCATTTTGCCGCTCCCGCTCAAAGTAATCTTGCAGCTTGATGATTAACTCACTGGCTTCACTTTTCAATGTTTGTCCACGTTTAGGCATTATTATGCACCAAAAGTAAAAAGAACGCAATACAAAACACAATCGAAGTCCGATTTAGCGCCGATGTCAGTTTGAAAAGCAAGCGGGTAATCAAATAAAAACAGATCGAAAACACTTGAAGAACGTGGTCTATGCGCACGAAACGACAACATACGACTGTTTTAGCGTCACAAAATGGCGGCCCATAACGCCATTTGGGGTTACCATTTTCAACCTAAATATAAAAATGCTACTTTCTTTCGCGCGTTCGGTTTGGTCGTAGTTTTATTTTTATATTTAATAAAAGTTATCTTATAGTCCATTGTTTTCAAATTCTTAAAAAGAAAAACAAAAAGTATTATTTTATAAAGTATATCTGTATAAGAATAGATTACGATACTGTTATTGCCTGTTATTGTTAGCACAGCACTACAAATATAAAGCGTTGACATAAACTTGTAATAGCGCAGTATAGATTTAGAAAAATATTGTTTACCAAGTTATTTGACACTCAGTTTGGCACAAAATTATAACATTCATTGATTATTGGTATAATAATGTTGTTTTAATGCT